CAGCCTCCTTTCATAACCCTCTTCCTTTTGCCTCCTGTCACCATGCTCCTTGATTAACATTAGGATAGTGCGGTATGGCACAGAGGACTGTCTCAAAAAGGTCCCGTGGCTGGTGCCAGTGCTGGAGTCTCAAGAAGAGCAGGTCTGCATTCACAGCGACAACCCAGAGACAGAGGAAGGTGAGGCCCAGAATGTCCTGCCTCCCGGAGGTGATGGGTGACAGGCAAGTTGGCTTTGGGTGAAGCTTTTTTTCTATAACAAAACTGTCTTCTTTGGCTCTAGTTAAACCCACACAGCTGCCACAGGATGGCAGAGAACAAAGTGAAGAAGTTATTCATAAAGAGCCTGAGATGCTACTAAGAGTGGAAAGACCAGAGGGATGCAGTGGACCCCTGTGAGCCTCCTGCCTGCGTTATGTGTTGTGCTGGCTCTGCTGTGTGTGGCTGGTGTGTGCCTAGATAAGAGCTGAGAATCCCATGTGCCCTTAGTGACTGAATCAGTGGGGAGTAAAGTCACTTAAAGGGATGTGTCCATCCACACTAGGATTGGAGTTGTGCTTCTGGAGCCCACCTTGAATGGAAATTTTAGCCTTTGCATGTGGCTGGGACTGGCTTGATTCCCTCCTCAACAATTGTGAAAAGTAGAATGGGAACCTTTTCCAAGTTCCAACTGTGTGACACAGGCCTTGCCGAATTAAAAGGGGGATTTCCTATGCAGCTGCTCCATCTCCATACACTTGTGCCTTGATTAGTGTCAGCGAGTGACGCTATTGAATTCCTTTGGCAGTAGATGGTCTCTAACTGGCTGGACCAAATGTTGCCCTAAAGCGTATCCTCTGGCCTCCGAGGGGAGCCTTTGGGAACAGAAGTGAAGTCGGCAAAGGAAACAGCTCCTTCCAGGAGTGGCTGTGGACTAAAAGGCCAGAACAAGATGGCTGATTCATGAAAAGATAATACAATGAGCAGGAGAACTGGGGTGCCTGCTAGACATCCCAGATCCAAACCAATCTAGTTCCTTGTGCACAGCAACAGGAAGTGTAGGAATCTGCCAAGGGTATGCCCAGAAGTCTGGTTGTCATGTGCCCTTGCGACTTTATTTCTCCAGTCGGGGCCTTGGCACATGCTTTGAGTGAATTACTAATGAATGCATCATGGTGTCTCAAAGCCACTCACCCTGCTTCTGCTAGAAGAAATGGAATGATTGACACTGGCCCAATCGATCCAGGGTGTTTCTTCTTTTGCATGTAAGCAGGAATGAAGAGTAGTTGAATAATGAGTTTACCCACTAACCATTCTTTCTGATCTTCATCTTGTGGGCCAATAAGTAAAAAACTCTTGTTTCTTCCTGGCTCGTGGAGGAGCCTTTGGCAAAAGGATCAGACTTTATAACCTACTTAGTTTTATGGATTTCAGGCCAAGAAAGACGAACAACATTTATAAAACTTGCATTGTTTCCATCATTCGCCAACCTCACTGCCATCTGGTGGCAGGATTTCTGTCCACTTCTGACTTAAGATCCTGGAATTTAAGGTCCTATGTATGGAAGCTGCTGTTGTCATTTAATAAGACTAATAATATATAGTATTATTATAATTATAATATATATGGGGTATGTGTGTTTAAGTATACCTACCCAATGTTGGGCGATGAGAGAGAAGTGCTTTTCCTATCCCTTAAGCTCAGCATAAAACCAAGTACTGGCATTCTGCTTCTCAGAAACCCTCGATGGCACTGGGTCAAGGGCACAGTGGGGGCCAGGAAGAGCATTAACTAATCCAAATTTTAAAAATAAGTATCCTAGCCATATTTATAAGCTGAATTTGACACAAGGTTTCTTGGATCAAATAATAATAATAGTAGAATCTCATGACAATGATGTCCAGGGAGCAGGTGCAATAGCTATGCTTTCCACCATAGCTGTGGAATAAGTTGTATCATCTTCAGTGTGTGTCTGCTCCCTCTCTAGCTCACCTCTGAAAAAAATCACAGGTGTCTTGTGTGGATATTTGCTCATTTCACAAATGAGAAACATGACAAGGAGAAAAGTTAAGTGATTGGGTCCCACATGGTTCCCAGGTTGACATTGTTTAAGGACAAAGGGACTGAGTGATTGACTTTGTCCTCCATTGTTATCTTCCTGATGTCCCAACCTGATGCTTTATTCTGGGTCCATGGACTGCTGTAGAGAAAACCAGAATGAGAAGAAAGATGAAGGATGGACCTGCAGGCTGGAAGGTGGATGCCTTTGGGGTGCATTCCTAGTTTTCACACACAAACATTGAGAGTATGGATTTGTATTGCAGATGGGAAACCAAACTTCAGGACACAGCCCAGAATTAGAGCACCAAGATTTAAACTTAGCTCCTAGTAGAAAACCACTTTCCCCTTCAAGGCATTGCCTACACATGTCACAAGAAGAGTCACAGAAGCCTGGTGAATTCTTCACATGTCTGTCTGCCACTAGTTCATATTAGGATGAATAGTTAGTGTGAGTGGAAAGAGCCATTAACTTTATGACAGCTTTGGTGGCAAGCCCCTTTACCTGCTGAGCCATCTCCCCGCCCATGAAATGCTTCTTGATTGAGCCAGCACACACTCTGAGAATTTGTGTTTCCTTTTAATAAAAGTTTACTGAGTAACAACTATGTGCAAAACACAAGGCTGAGTACTCGTCCTAGGTGAGTGGTAAAGCCATGGTCAACTCTCACTTCAAATTAGTTTGGATACAAGGATCTCACACTGTGTAATTGTGGATTTTGAGATGCTTTGTTAGTGCCAGGAGTTGTATGAACATAATTAGTCAGTATATGGCTTGTTTCTGTTACCCTTCCAGATAGCCCTGCCCTCAGGTGGCACTTTGTTAAAACTTGAATCTTTTGCTAGTTTGCTCATTCCAAGTCTCGCACAGTTGTCTGTTCTGTACCCCACAACCTACTTTGCACATAAGGATCTCCTATGCAAGAGGGGAGGGGAGCTCTTTGATAACTGAAAAATCCCCGTGAAACCCAAGTGCTAGTTATCTTCTTCTTACTGGCAAAGGCAGCTTTACTTAGATTTGTGCCCTTTTAACACTCACAGATTGGACAGAGGAAATTTCTTAGTGCATAGAAAGGGGATATAAAGGAAGGTAATTTTCAGGGTCTGTGCTGTTACTTCCAATATCCTAAAATCCCCCTCAAGGGCCTCCTCCAGCCACTGTTGAAGGAAGACCATCAGGCAACTGGTATCCTAAAATACCCCTCAAGGGCCTCCTCCAGCCACTGTTGAAGGAAGACCATCAGGCAACTTCTCACCCAGTAAGACTTAGAATTTTGTAGGAATCTGTTTATCTGCAGAGATGTCCAAGAATGCTGTTAATTGTTCTGTGAAGAAACAGTTGAAATTAAGATATACCCTGAAGCTAATACCCTAGTACTGTTAGCTAGGACGAGACTGTGTGTGCACAAGTTCACTGTCCGAATTATGTTGTACTTCAATCAAATGCTAATTGGATATCCAAATAGTGACATGAAACCACACAACTGCTAGTCAGTTATTTCCCCGTTAATCATCCCTCGGGAATAACATCTCTTTCAAAGATGGTTTAGCAAGCTCCACATTTGAATATGTGTATTCTAACAGATGTTTTTACTGACTGAAGCCCAGGTGTCCAGGCTTCAGGACTGATGCTGCTCATACTGGTGGCAGGAATTCCTCATCACTTGCTTCACAGTTGTGGCGTTTGGGGCACACTGAGACTTAATCTGGCACCTTCTGGAAGGGCTCCTGAAGAACTGAATGGGGCTTCCATCAACAAAGGTGACAGAGGTGGCACCTCACGGCCCTTTCCTTGGCTTGCTTGTGGCCATTCCAACAGAGACATGTGGATTGCCTTTCCTGTAAACAAAATAACAATTTATCAATGAATTAGAATATTCTAGACTGATGAAAGGCGTGTGTGTGTGTGTGTGTGTGTGTGTGTACACATTGTATGGTAATTTCTCTAAAATTGTATGTAAAAAAAAAAAAAACCCTTCAGAAATTACCAGATAAGAATAAGGTAACTTGCTGACAATTCTGAGGTGTGGTTTCTGGGCAGCTTGAAGCAGGATAGATTTTCCTTACAGCAACAGTTCTTTATGCACACTCAGAACGCCAGGGTGAGTAGCCTTTCAGGGGCAGGAAAGGACGGTGCCTTTAAACTCTCACCCTTGCTGAAGGGAGGCTCATGGAGTTGTTGATGCTGATGTGTACTCCCATATGGCCCTGTTCTCTTCTTTCAGTCCCTTCCACTATACAGATACATTCAGACCTAACATATCGCAGGGGTACAGCTTTGTAAACCCAAATCATCGGAAGAATAGAACAGATTAGGAAAACCTTCAGTCTTTCCAGTTGTGGGATAACCTCAGTCTGGCTTTGATTAAGACTATCCGTTTTCTAGGAATTGTGGTTTTTGTCAAATGCAGACGGAAGGTACTGATTGGGGTTCTGGCTGAAGTTCTGCTTCAGTCTGAGGAAACAGTAGAATCAGTCTTTGATGTTGTCTGTGCAGATGCATTAACACATTGGGTCAGCTGAGTGAGGATGCGTGCATGTTGCATGCCCATTACAGTCCATTACCACCAACACAGAGGCATGAGCAGTTTAACTGTTTGCGAACAACCAACCAGAGTGTACTTGTGTTTTAAGCTGCCTTTCCTGAACACCATGGGTTCACCTAAGCCTCTTGGTGTTTACATTGGACAGAGTTTTTCTTTGTGGGCAGCATGGGGTGATTGGATTTCTCTTCTGGGTTTTAACATGGACTTTATGCCCTTTGGAAATATCAAGGCTTTAATTTCTCAGTAGCTAATGCATATTGCTAATTATGTAATGACATTTCTCTTTCAGCATGACCAGCAAAAAAGTTTTGTATACATGGTTCCATTCTCCCACTGTTTGTTTTTTCAGGTTGGTCGAGTCATCATCCACACTCTGCCAGTCTCTAATTCCTTTTTTTTTTTTTATTTGATCTTGTAGATACGGTTCGAGAACTCCTGTGTCAGATGACGCAGAGTAAGTGGCATCGAATTTGTAGGATTACATTAATCACTAGCCTAAAGTGCATGCTTCCAGTACTTACCACTAATTGGCATGCACCGGATGCCGAACAATGAGCCCAGTCCACAGCAGAGCACGTGGGGCCACAAGGCAGAATGGGTTCTGTGCAGGGTGGGAGTTGTTGAGTTAGAAAGCAACTTAAGCATGATGCTGATGTTTAACGGATGCTTCAGCTTTGCTTTTTGTTTTTCATAGCTAGGCATGCTCAAGTCGCTCTTACAATTAGGACATTGGTGCCCTTTCTGAATTAGGAAGTCATGAAACTATTGGAATTAGGGAAGGGATGTCATGGGTTTTGCAGTTTAACTCCTTATGTGCTGGGACTTAGCATAAACAATGAAGTAGTCATTCCTACAGTCACATTTTTTTCCAAACTAAGAAAAATAAATCCTAACCACTAATTATAGATTCAGAAGCCCCAGTTCCTACCAGGTTGGAGTCACATAAATTGTGGGATACTTAAGACCCAAACATTGGGGTTTTGTTCAAGTTCCACAGCATCCCATGGAGTCAAGCATATAAAACAGGACCTGGGTTCCTCTGCCTGCCCTTTGCTTCACAGCATAGCAAGGAGTCAAGCATATAAAACAGGACCTGGGTTCCTCTGCCTGCCATTTGCTTTTCTTCCTGAACAGAGGTCTCTTCCCCGCTCAGCACCTAACATTCCAGTTTGAGAAGAATCTTAACTGTCTCACCTGTGACCTTACAAACTCTGTCCCCAAACTGGTTTTCCTGTAAGCAGATCACTCTGCATAAGACATATAAGGCTGAAGGGTTTTTCAAAATTATATCCTTCTCAGGTCTGCACATTTGGTCTTAGAAGGAACAGGATTTAATATTTCATTCCAACATCCATCACCCAAAAGCATTGTGTGACCCGACAGAGATGAGGCCATTACCGAAAGGGTGAGAACTGCCTGTTCTCATGAGCCAAGGTCCACGTCACAGAGAGGAGTAAATAGGGGTATAGAACCTGATGACACAGTAATGGTATTTAAGCAGAGGAGGGCCTTAAGCAGTATTTTCTCATCAAGCTTTCCTATGTTTGTGTTGACAACATCAGCCTAGTTTAGACTCTTAGTCCTAAGCGTTCATGTTCTGTCCCCAAGTTCTGATGGGAAATCTAGAACTATTTAGTCATCTAGGAGACAACTTCCATGCCTCAAAATTGAAATTCAGTCTGTGCTTGACTGACTGCACCAAGTTAAGCAGTCTGTAAAACCAAGGCCTGGTTATTACTCTCGAATCCCGCAGTGTCAATATTTAACATCCCTGACAGGAGAAGGATATGAGATTGACAGGTAAAGCACTACTCTGACCTGGTGAACAGTAACATTGTGATAGAATGGATTTATTCTTAACTGATGAAAAGCTGTGATGCAATTTACCCAAAGTAGATCTTGAGGGAAGCCTAAAAAGTGAAGGGAAGGAAGCTACATTCAAAAGAATTTAGATCTTTGCCACACTTGCCTCTGAAACCTTGGCCACAGAAAAAGTTAGTGACTGTTCAAAGGGACAGGGCTCGGGGATCCCCTCTTCGTTGTTTATAAACTGTCCCAGTGGACCAAGAAGAGGTCAAGGAACTTCTTGTGCAGAGGTTTGATTTGAGAATATACAAAGTGCCAAATTAACTGCTTAGAACAGACATGGGTGACATGAAGTCACTTGGGGAACAAAATTAATTGATTTTGTTCTAAGATTTTGTACTAAGAGTTAATTTTTAAAATAGAGATGTGTACTGTTGTTACTTCCTTTCCCTCCCCCTTTTCCAAACTCTTATAGGCAATTACTGACATAAACTACACTTATAATACTTGACACATTCTTAAGATATAGCCCAGTCAAAAAACAAGGTGTCTTAATAAAATGTAAGTCAGGGTTGACCTACCATAGAGATAGCAAAACCTCCACCTTCTGGCCAGTTAAGAATGTCTAAGTTTAATTTTCGATTTCCTCAACGTGCTGTTCCTCTTCTCTCGACATGCCTCTGCCAGAGGAGCCCGCATCTTTGGAGCACCATGAGGCAATTTATTCTGAATTTTCTTAGCTCAGACTTGCCTCAGAAACCATTGCCAGGTGCTGCTAGAGGAAGGTCCATCCCATTCCTCTAAAGTGTTAGCTTGCTCCCAACTGAGCCTTGGGCTCTACAGGCAGCAGCCTGCATCCCAACAGCCCTGGACATAAGAACAGAAAACAGGTGCAGTCCAAGTCACAACACTCTGGAGGCTGGGTTTCTCCAGGACTTATCACCCATCTCTGCCGTATCCCATATCCAAGCTCACACTTCTTCATGCAGATGTGAAGTGCAACCTCTGAACTGAAGGATGGTTTCTAAATGATGACTCAGCCCATTTTCTGTATTGTCAGTTTTCAACTTTTTCAGTTCCTTTTTTTAAAATAAGTGGCAAAAATGTCACAGTTTTGCAGTTTTCTTTTTTTTGCAAGTTGTTGGTGTTTCTTTTAAAAAAACGCAAAACCCTGGGGTGGAGGGGGTGGTACTTCCTGCTATAGGAGAGGGCACATAAGAGTTGCACTTAGTTATCTGGCCTTTGGCCACATTTGGGCTGGGGTAAGTCAGAGCCTGGACGTAGGAACAGAGATAGTAATTCAAGGCTGAGGAAGGCAGCTGTGAAGGCCTCTTATCCCTCCATGAACGATGAATGAACTGGCTGAATCCCACACCTTGAAGAGGCCAGCTACTTCCAACCCACCCCCTCGGAAGCCACTGCATAGCTACCTATTATGACAACCCAGAATTCTGCCCTTAGAACTCACAGGCAGCACCGTCAGTGGCCTCCTCTCTCCCCACTGTTGGTGCTTGGTGTGTAAGATACAGAGACATTTATACATCTGAGGCATTAATAGAAATTGTAATTTGCCTTAAAAATAACTGGCTGGATCGGCTATTTTAAAGGTAAAATTCTCCTCACCCCTCCCACCTTTAACTAGAAAGGTGTGTGAGTTTCCATCTATTTGTAGAAGGCCTACTTAGGTGAATTTTTATCTAAAAGTTAAAAAGGGGGGTTGGACTTTTCTGCTTAACATTGTAAATTCCCAAACCTTTCCTAATTATTAATAAGTATTGTAAAATAGATGAAGAAGATCACAGCCCCTTTCCCCTTTGAGTTTATTTTTCTACAAGGCACAGCTTTGGAAACCAGCACTGCAAACAGAGAAGGCAACGGCAGCTTCCCACTGGGCTTCATCAACCCTTACCCACCGCCATCCCCACACCCCACCCCGGTACTAACAGAAGCCTCAGATTCAAAACTAAGTCTCTGCAGTTGGAGTCTTAGAACACTCTGGAAGAAAATAGTCTTTGAGTTTGTAGGTCTCAGATTCGATTTTAAATGTCCAGCACATGGAGAAAGGGTCAAGGAACCCAGCCATCCATTCAGACTCATCCAACAGGGCTGCTGTCACTGATGGTGTCTGGAATAAGTTGGTTGCCCAGCGCATGGCTTTTTTGCTGATGTCGTTCCTGGATGTTAAGCTGGCTTCAAAAATGGATGAACGCCATCTTCTACACCTAGGGGACTTGGAAGGTTTCTCCATTACTTCTTGCATATGCAATCCCTGTGATCCTCAGACCCTGTCGTTTAAGGGTGGGGAGGAGGGTTTTGCTTTGGTCTCTACTTCTGTGTTCCCTGCTGCTTCAATGCTTGCTCTTATAACAGATCTGCTGAGAGCTCTGTGGTCTTAGTCAGCTCCTACAGAATTTATCAATGGCATGCACAGCCGAAAGGTTTGCTTCTCCATTGCCTGCCCTTTCCATTTCACTTCAAAAGTAAATTTAAAAGATCTTGACAAAAATAAACCAAAGCAATTGTGAACACATTAGGGTACAAAGTGTACCCTGATTTATATATTTATCTCTTATTACAAAATGCCTTATTTTCTTGATTCCAAAATGTACTATCAATTGCATAATTGTATAGAAAAGAAAAAGAAATAAACACAACACACCCAGCATCAGCATCAACCTAAATATGTTTTGTTTTTAAGTGAAGAAATTGTCTCTGGGCATGTAGATCAGGCAAGCCCTCTCTTATCACCATGAAGTGTAGTGAAATTCCGCAGCAGTGGAATGTGCCGGTCTCCCTAAATTATATACCTTTAAATGAGAATGGTGGCCTTCGGGCCTTCAGGTGCTTTCTCCTAGCCCCTTTCTGGCACCTTTCTAGAAAGCTGCCCCATTCAGGGCCATCAATGAGGACAAAGACATCCCTCTAGGCTGTGCTGCTGGTGACTGCTTCCCGCTGCTGAGTGCTGAGTGAAGAGGCGGCTCTCAGCCCAGTAGCGACCCCAGCCGACAGCGCGCAGTGGCAACAGGAGCCCGCCGCCCGCGCTCATCCTGCCTGCTTTTTGTTTTTGCTCTCTCCGCATCAGGAGCACGAGTATGTTTGACATGCGGTGTGAGGAGGAGGCAGCGGTGCTGCCGCACAGCAGGGCCCGCCAGGAGCAGCTGCAGCTGATAAATAACCAGCTGAGGGAAGAGGACGACAAATGGCAAGATGTGAGTTCGGCCAAGGCCGTGGGCAGTTGGGGAGGGACTCAGCCCACCACCGGGCTGGGAGGGTAGACTTGGACTTCAAAAGCCCTGTTGGGAAGGGCCGCCCCAGTATTACAGACAGACCTGACCTGTGAAGATTAAAGGAGGGAACGTGGAGAGAGGAGAAACTGACACTGGTGTGTATCAGCAGGTACTCTGCACCAAAGCTTGGTCACAAAGAGAAAGGGTGGGAGGCAGGCGACTAGGATAAGCGCAGAGCTGTGGTGTACTGCCTTTTAATAATCCATATGTAAGACTGGTGGAGGACTACGATGACTGCCCCTGCCTGTGTTAATTGTTCCAGTAGCAGGCACTGTTCTAGATGCTTTGACTCTGGGTAATTCATCCAGCCCATTTAGTAACCCAGTGTACTAACAATGGTTAGCTTCCAGCACCCACAGATGTAATCCCAGCCCAGCTAAGTCACTGCCCAAAGTTCCACAGCTAGTTGAGAAGGGAGGCAAGACCCAAACCAGGAAAAGAAGGTGCCAGAGGCTGGTGAGAGCTTGGAAGGAGTGTGCTGAGAGTAATGAGCTACAGCAGGCAGAACCTGGGCTTAGCCAGGAGACAGGATCATATTTGTTTCTCACCGAGCAGTAGGTTACTATTGCAAAGCTGACTCCACCATTAGTCAAAAAGTTAATTTCTCCAAAGTTGGCACAGTGTATGACAGTATGTCTATGTGTCTAGCACCTAAGTGTTTTGTCACATTGAACCCCAAGATGTGTAAGCAGGGGACCCCCAATACTTGTAAGCAGAGTTGGAAAAATCACCCACATTTTAGAGAAGATAAAAATGCATTCAGAGAGGCTAGTAAACACAGACAGTGTGTGAGCAAGATGGAACCAGGCTGTTTCCCACAACTCTAGCTCATCCCTCTGACCCAGAAATGTCACCATTGTGCTATAACTACCTGTAGGACAGGTCTCCCCACTCCTGAGGAGCAGAGGAATTCACACGTATAGAATCAATGGATCTGTAAGACAACTCCAAAGCCACATGTTTTTCTCCATCCAGGAGAAAACTGTACGTGAATCCTCACCGTTCTGTTGCCAGGATATGTATTTCCAGTGCAGAGGTGGAAAGAGAGAAGGATGGAGTTTTCTGTGATTATTACCTTGTAAAACCATTCTCTCAAATTTGCCAAGCAACATGACGTGATTGCTTATATCACACCTCAGTGTTTCAGTGAGTGGCTGCCCTGATAATGATAGCGTGCACTTTCTTTCCCTGCCTCCCAGGCATCCTTGTCCCAACCAGACCTTCATGGGATTGTGTGGAAGTGTCCCAGCATAGTGTCTCAGTGCTTGCGGGTCTGTGAGTCACAGAAAGGGAATTCTGTGAAGAAGGCTGAGAAAGAGCATGGTATCTCCCTCTCTCTCTCCTCCCAGGACCTGGCTCGTTGGAAGAGCCGTAGAAGAAGTGCTTCTCAGGACTTAATCAAGAAAGAGGAAGAAAGGAAAAAAATGGAGAAGCTGATGTCTGGAGAAGACGGGACAAGTGAACGAAGGAAAAGCATCAAAACTTACAGAGAGATTGTTCAAGAAAAGTGGGTCTTTCTGTTGTTAGGGTATAATAGTACCTAGTTATGCTTTTCCTAAGCTCCAATGCTACTATTTATGGTTTAGTTTTATTCTGCCTTGGTGGGAATCTTTGCAATGTGCCTAGCTGTTTATTGCTCTTCTTCCCGTACCCCATCCTGCAGAGAGCGGAGAGAGAGGGAGCTGCATGAGGCATATAAGAATGCACGGTCGCAGGAGGAGGCAGAGGGGATCCTCCAACAGTACATTGAGAGGTTCACCATCAGTGAGGCTGTGCTCGAACGCTTGGAGATGCCAAAAATTCTGGAGAGAAGCCATTCAACAGAGCCAAACTTATCCTCCTTCCCGAATGACCCCAGCCCCATGAGATACTTACGGCAGCAATCACTGCCTCCACCCAAATTCACTGCCACAGTTGAAACCACCATTGCTCGCACCAGTGTCCCAGAGACCAGCGCAGCAGGCGGCAGTGGGTCTCCAAGCAAACCCATCACTCCCAATGCAGTGCCTATGCTGACACCCAAGCCTTACTCCCAGCCCAAAAACTCTCAAGAGGTTCTGAAGACTTTTAAGGTAGGATGAATTCTTTGAGAGGAAATGGAAACTGAGCTCCAGGTAGTTTGTGGAAAGAAGCCTACTGACTTGAGAAAAATACAATAACTTTTATCAAATGAAAGCCAAATACATTTAACACTGGCAATAGTTTATAGTTCAGGAGATTGGGTTTGCAGATACTTAAGGGATGGGCATTCCTGTTAGTACTATTGTTACTCTTATGGGACTGGACTCATTGTGATTGACAAGTCTTCCCCATAAGCAAGACCTGTTTCCTGGTTTATTGATGATGTCGTTTCTCTTAGATCAGTGTAAGTAAATACTAATTTAGCGATAGCCCACATCTATAGTTAACCTGGATGCACAGCAAACTCAAAGTGTATTTGCTTTTAGTTTAAATAGAAAAATATATAGCTGCATCTTAAGGAAGAAATTGACACTCTATCCAAAGAGTTGCTTGGCAGCATGGGGTGTGTTCATCATCAGATCAGATAAAGTTTTTCTTGGGCAGAAAACTGCTGTATTACTTAAAAATATATAAAATCATTTTCAAGAACCAAAGACTCTTTGGCAACTAAACCTATTTTCACTTGCTTATATTCCAGTGTCCACCTATAACATGGTGGAGCATTCATCCTGTATCTTAAGCTCCTTTGACTCCAAAGAAAAATCAGTTCATGTTGTCCTTGCACACTACATGAATTTTGTAATAGATGTTGAGCGTGGAGATCATCACTAGGAGTTGTTGCCATTAAGGCTGGGATGAAGTTACATAACTCAGCTGAGAGTGAATGCAGGGGGCTTCCATACTGGACTCAAGAGCCCCCAAACCTACCTTCTGACTTAGGTTTACATATATCTAAATACATCTTTAAAATCCATATCTTAAGCTTTGCTAGCACAAAAAGGGCAATTGTCTGGCCATTTCATCCCATTGAATTACAATGTTTGTCCCTTACAGGGTAAGAGCTGTTTCTTTATTTCCATGGCTCCATCCTAAGAGCCTGGCATAGATACCCGGACTTGGTAGACATTCAGCAAAAGTAAATAACTTAATTCTTCTTGAAATTCAACACAGAAGTTGAAGACTTGTTTACAAAACACACACACACACACACACACACACACACACACACACACATACATGTGTGCCTAGCAGTATCCTCAGTGGTCCAAGTGTTTTGAGTACCTTCCTTCACCTGGGGCCAGGATGATGGATGGTATAACATTCCATGAAAGCATTATATTGAGGTAGCTCAGAACACAGATGGTAATACATTTATATAACTGTATGTAAATGGTATAACATGATCACATAATGGTAAGATAGAAGAATTTAGGACAAAATTTAGGCTCTGAGAAAACCATGTCATTTTTGTTTGGTAGTCTGCCTCTCCTTTACTATGTGTAGGGGAGTGAGAGTCTATGCCCATAACAAGACTTTTTCTCAAAAATGAATCAACAGTCCTTGTCAAAGTAACACATAAATAGGACAGTTGTTACTAGATTAGAGAGGCCAGGCAGCTTAGAAAATGTGCATACATGCATGTGTGTGTACATGTGCCCACAACAGCAAGATAAACTAATAAATAATCTGTAGCGTATTTTTAGAAGAGAAAAGGAATAAAGGAAGATCAAGTGATGCAAGCCAAGCACTGGTTTTCAGAAACTTGTTTCAAACATGCTTTTGGATTATTGTCAATTTAATGGTTGAGAATCATTTTTAAAAATGAAGCAGACAAAAGTATAATAGACAAAGTCACAAGGATCACACTCAATAAAGATAATCATACCGTTTATCTGTCTCCACCATATTCATGCATGTGTGCTGAGTTGCGTTATTAGTTTCTTAGAGGTGACAGGTAATAAAACATAATGGCCAGTAACACAAGGTAACCCACACAGCTAATGTCCAACCTTCTGTTGTTTCATTAAGAAGATTTTAGAAGACCCACTAAGAATAGCCAGGAGTATATGAGGTGTTGCTCCAAGTCCTAAGCACACCTTAGTCGTATAACTCCACAGCAACACTATGAGGAAGGTCAAGTCAAAATCTGCATTTTTTATACAGAGAGTCAGAAATACTGGAGATTGCAAAGCTGCTGAGGAGTAGAGTCAGAATTGGATCTTAGGTCATCTCACCACAGATAGTCAGCCTCAAACATCAGGAAGGAGGGCTCCAGAGGCCAAAGAGCCACTCCTCTCCTGTTTGCTCTTGCTGCCTCTTTTAAATATGGAGCGAAACACATTTTAGTGAGCACAAACTTTTTTTCTTCATAAGAAAAAAAATAGAATTATAAAATAGAAAATGAGATTTATTGTAAGATAACATATCAGAATCCTTGCCCTCCATGACAACTTTACAAAAAAAAAAAAACCCCATCTGCCAATCTTTCCTCTACAAAATTACCTGCAAAATGTTCTTGTTCGGGTCCCTACTTCATTGAAATACTAACCAGAAAAAAAATTGGGTTGTGGATTTGCCATCACAACTTAAATTGAAAATTACTGAAACCTAATTATATGGCATGTGTTTAAGATTCCTTGATTTTTCTATACTTTCAAATGAGAGCACGCCATAATCAGATGAACATGAAATGTCCTCCAGTCATGATGTGACTGACATCTTCCAAGAGATGCCCTTACAGATGACATTTTGAGATAGGAATATACACAGAGAATTCTTTAAAGCAATTCAAACTGTGTGTTTGGTTATCATCTTTGGTTGCAGAACAGCATGTTTTCTTGTTCCTCCTGGCCTTTATAGGTGGATGGGAAAATCAGCATGAATGGAGAAATGGTCCATGGAGATGAGGAAGAAAAGGAAAAAGAAGTGCCCGTGGTGGCACCTGGCCCTTCCTTAACCAAGTCCCAGATGTTTGAAGGTGTGGCCACGGTGCATGGCTCTCCCGTGCAAGTGAAGCAAAGCAGCAACAGCATTGAGATCAACATCCAGAAGCCAAATTCTGCTTCCCAGGAACTGACAGTAAGAAGCAGCACTGCCCCCTGGCATAAGTCCATCATGTAACTGGCCTCTAGAATAATCTGGTCATGACAGTGTTTCTTTCTTTCTCCTTGAGTATGGCTAGGGCTGCATAGCATACCAAAGTACTACAAGGCTTCAACAACAGAAATTGTCCCTATCCTATTTGATAAAAGTCCAAACCCTAGGTATTAATAGGGTTTACACTTTCTATTGGCATCAAAGGGGAGTCTGCCCTAGGCCTCTCCTAGAGCTCTTGATGCTTACCAGAAATCTTGACTGCCCAAGGTGTGTAGATGCATCACTCCAACTTGTACCTTCTTCCCTCAGTGCTCTTCTTGTGTGTATACATGTCTGTGCTCAAGTTTCCTGTTTGTCAGGATATCAGAATGGTGGTGCCTGCCCCATTAACCTTCACTAAGTTCAGCTGAAATACCCATTTCCAAATAATATCATATTCCAAGGTTCTAAGGAAATAAAGTCAATCCAAAACAATAGACAGTAATTAAAGATAATATAATTTGAGAATAATAAATTAACTTTTCCTCATATTGTTGGTCTGTTGCATTATAGAAACACATATATCTTTAAATTATCCTTTTTCTCTATTTGTTAAAGACATCATTAGACTTTTTTATATGATTTGAAAATAACTAGTGCTAAGCTAGGTGTGGTGGGATAAACCTGTAAATCCGGCACTTAGGAAGCTACAGCAATAGAGTGGTGAGTTGAAGGTCAGCCTGAGTTTTGTAGTGAGACCCTGTCTCAAAATAAGATGAGTGGTGCTGTCAGAACCTGGCTTCATATCTTCGATCATGTATCTCTGTCTATCTGTTTGTCTATCTATCATCTGTCTTTTCTATCTATCTCTCTCTATATATATATATAAATATATATATATATATGTTTACTAGTTAAAATACAACTAATTTTTATTAGCTTAAACTTTTAAATTCAAACTCATCTAACAGTCTTCAGTTAACAATGGAGAAAGAGTAACTTGAGAAGAGCAGACATGAGAACTCACAGTGGAGTGAGGTTTGCCTCTTTGGAGTATGTCGTGTCATCGGGAGCTCAAGCTGGTTTTGCTTATCCAACCAAAGCTGTCACCTGCACAGTTACAGCCTAGGTTTGGAGTGCAGGTTTCCTTCATTAGCAGCCCACATCCTACCATGCTTTGGGGTTTGTCTGATAGTTAAAGATGGAGAGATTGTTGAGGTTCCCACTCCAACTCCTCAGGAGATTTGTTCTGAAGGTAAACTTGCTTCCTGCCGCCTCCACTCAGCACAAGGTGCACCCTTGCCAGACCCACACACTGGACCAGATAGCATTGTCCTTAGCTCAGCCATATGAGAATACATACGTTTTGCTGGAATTGTTGAGAAGGTGTCGTTCTCCCCACAGCTTCTTCCCCTGGTGCTCTGTGACTGAGACTCAAATGGGAAGAGACCAAAGTCATTTCTCAACCAAGTGTTGGGACCCAGGCAAATGCTCAGTCTCACCTCCTGGCCTAAAATTTTACTTTGGATTTGTGTAATTGTCACCATCGCTGGGGATACCTTACAAAGCGGCAGGGTTGGAATATTGAGTTATGCTACCAAGAGGGAAGATCTTAACTAGTGAGACAAACATTCACTTCTGCCCCTACATTTAAACTAGAAACCCCCAAATAATTGGCATTGTCTGGCTGGGCTGGCTTTTCAGGGAACATTAGCAATTCTGCTCCCCGCTCCAAGTTCCTCGGGAGCATTTGCTAGATCGCTTCATTGTGAAGTGATTACATACCCCCTAAAGCAACATATTTTAAGAGAGGCAGCATCCATGATAAGAAATAAATCGTGTTATTTCAGAAGTCTGCATGTCCCCATAAGGGGAACTCCAAAGGAAAGGCAACTTTATGGTCTTTCTTCCCCACAGCCAGCACGATGCTAGGCAGTCTCAGAGGACAGGTTCAAACTCATAGGCAAGCCTGAGTTTCTTTCTCTTGTGTATTTTTCCTAGTTAGGAGTAATTTCTAGTTGAGTAAACTTAAATGCTGACACGAAAGGGGACATTTATGTTCTGATCTCTAGTACTTTAAGCTTTTCAACGTGATGAGAGTTATTCCATTATTTTCTGATCTATATTATATATCCATCTATCATCTACTTATCTATCATATATCTATCATCTATCTCCCTCCCCAACTCTGATGCATCATCTGCCTGTCTATCTGTCTGTCTAACTTATATGTGTGTTGTTTTGTTCTTGAGGAAGATGACAGAAAGTTCTTCACCTACACTGTTTACTTAAGATTCTAAAACTTGCTGGGTGGTGGTGGTGGCACACGCCTTTAACCCCAGCACTCAGGAGGCAGAGGCAGAGGCAGAGGCAGAGGCAGAGGCAGAGGCAGGTGGTTCTCTATGAGTTCCAGGCCAGCCTGGTCTACAGAGAGAGAGTTCCAGGAGAGCCAAGGCTACACAGAGAAACTTTGTCTCAAAAAACAAACAGAAAAATCCTAAAACCTTTCTGCTCAAGCATGTTATCCCAGAAGTCATCTCAAAGGAATCCCTTTCCAAGAGTTAGTCATTTGAGTCATGCCTGTATCCCAATATTTGGGAAGCTTATTCAGGAGAATTGTTGCAAGTTAAGGAAACAGAGAAACACTGCCTAAAAATAGATAATTTCTTTTTTAAAAGATAACCAGGTTTTTTTTTCAAAAATTTACTCCTTATTTTACTCCCTTCTCTGTTATTCCAAAAAAGGAATTCCAAATTCCTTCTCTGTTATTCCTTCTCTGTTATATTCATGTTGAAAATGTGAAATGAATCGATCCTAGTGAAGGATGGTGGCCGTCTTGAGACAGGATGCTGTACTTCCATGCCTCCCAAGGATTGGTACCAGGGTTGGACTTGACTTTTCTGTTTCTAGCTCAGTTTCCCAGTTCCATGGGGCTGTCAAAGGAATAGTGTTCTTCTTGTTAAATAGTGTCTTTCTTCCAAAAACTGCATTCTCAAATGAGACACCCTCTACAGAGGAGTAGCCTCACCCACCACTAAAATGTCACAGTTGCTTTAGGGCAAGTTGGAACTGTGCAAAGGGCACAGTGACAGTAGTAGGCATGAGTGTGAATTCAGAATGTGAGGTGAGCCACAGGGAAGGGGGGCCGAATGACCCCCCTGGGTGCTCTGAGGTAGGAGTGTCTGCCTCCTAGGCTGAGGTGGGCACTTTTTATGATGGCATGTCACCTCTTTCAGGTTTCTTCCACTTCCTCTTTCTCACTGGATGCCATTGAGACAATGATTTTTTTTTCTTTTATAATTAGATTGGAAGGGAATTTGGATTTCTTCTGATACTTGGGCTGTGTCTACCTAGGCCATCCCATTTCAGACCCTCCTGGTAGGCTGAGCTGTGTAAGAATAGGAGTACAATGCTTGCATAAGTGAACTAGAGAAAGATGTCAAACAGTGTGTAATTAAATGCTAGGTTATAGACTAAGGACACCAGCGGATTGTAATATGGCAAAGAAAGGGTCAAATCAGAATAGACTGGATATGATCTGGGAAAGTGTGTGTAGAGTATGGACTTTCTTTGAAGCTTGACATTCCACATGATGGGCATGATGGGAATGTTGGGACCAAAAGACCTAAAAGGGATGACAAGTGGCGCTAGAGACCAGGTCCTGTGCCAGACAGAGATTGGCTCCCCTCCTTCCTTGTTATTTGTGAGATTTTTCAGAGTTTAGTTTAGTTCTGTATCTCTGTTAGAAGCACAATCAAAAAAAACTAGCACCTTGCATTTTAAAATACTGGCTTCTGCTAGAAAATCATGTCATAGCATACATACAGGTTCCTAGACTGCAGGACTGGAAAGGACATTTAGAAAGTTCCCTAATCTGAAGATTAGTCTGTCCTATGTTTGGTAGCCTATATTGAAAGACATGCTTTTGTCTTCATGATGCTTAATATTGTCAACTTGGTAGACTCTAGGGTCACCTAGCAGACAAACCTTTGATCACGTCTAGGTTGGGTTAACTGAGGTAGGAAGAGCCACTCTGAATGTGGATGGCACCATTGTAAAGTCTGGGATCCCAAGCTTAATAAAAAGGAGGAAGAGAGCTGAACACCAGCGATCTTCTCTTGTCTTCTGACTATGGAAGATCAGCTGCCTCATGCTCCTGCTGTCATGACTTCTGCCATGATGGACTGTGTCCCCTTGAACTATGAGCCAAAAGAAACTCTCCCTCCCTGAGTGACTTTTGCTATGTATTTTTATCACAAGAGAAATAACTATGATAGTCTCCCTCAAAGCTATCTCCATAGTGGTGGCGGTGTTGCTTTTTTGTCCACTGTCAGTTATACTTTAATTTGAATCTCTTCCATCCTTGGTGGGCTGAAAATGATCCTTTCCTAAAATACCTCAAGAACACCATGCACTAGGCCAGACTCTACTGAACACGTTTAAGTGTCTGTCCTCTGCTTGTATTTAGAAGGAAGTTAATAGACTGGCATTCTATATACTAGTTCATGCTATTGTGAGAGTGCACATCTGCCAAGCACTTAGCATAATGTCAAGGTGACTTGTAGACCATGGGTGCCCTTATTTTTGATACTGCCATACAACAAATGCAAAGTAAAATAGAACACACCCCAGAAACCCAAAATTGGAAGAGATGTAAAGATTTGGAGAATTTACATAAGGTCATCAGAATTACTGTGTTGAGCAGATGTGAATTTTATATGTATGAGGTGAACGCCTTGTCCCCTTCCAGCTGCTCATGTCAGTCATTCCAGTTTCTTCTCTCAAAAGCAGGCAGCTGTGAACAGCTCTTTCCAGAAGAACCCATCCCTGATACATTTAATTCCTCCTCTAGCTCTTTTTGTTTCCATTGTGGTGTTCCCCAGTCTTGGCTTGCTTCTGCCACCTGGGCTCCCAAGATTCCACTCTCCAGACAGAATGACCCTACTGTCACTCTGTCCCATAATGGCTGACCAGATCCCTCTTGAACACTCACTCATCCCAAT